AAAAAAAAAGGTTAGAAGCTACTCTACAGACAGGACATAAATACATCTGTGTGGAAAACTGATTTTCCCCTTACCATTGTCGGGGAGGTCGACAGTTTGGCTGCTGAGAATGGTCTTCATTCTGTAAAGAGACAAAATAGGTGCTTTCAACTCTGAAAAGTTTGACTGGCTCTGAGATTCAGGCTAAAGCGTGTATGCCTTTATATCTGTGATTTTAACAGCTCCACAATGACTGTTTACTAAAGTTCGGACTGTGAGATACAGGCACACCACACTGGTGTCAGCAAGCTTTAGCTACAATGCTAACAGAAGTAAGCATTAGATAGCCGACCAGCTCCTTTCATGAGATACCGATACAGTAAAAACGTTAGAAGTTGTTAAATAACACCTGGAGCCGCGCAAACGCCATGTTTAATATGAGCATTGTTGAATCCGCTGTGGGCCTCAGCGCGTACAGAGCGCCAGGCCTCAAGCATCAAATCTGATTAAAACTAACATCATATATCCCAACAGAGCTAAAGTAGGCTACAAATACAGATTATGGTGAGAAGTGTAACATATTCTCAGTGTGATGGCTCATAATCGAGCGAAATATAGGTTTAAGAGACATAGATGTAGTTAGATGAAAGCAAGGCAACAATTTTTCGGTTATCCTCACCTCGCCGGTAGCAGAGGAAAGGAGGAAAGGACGACGTCACCACGCAATTGTACGTGCCACCAGCAGGCATTACCAGACGATCGAGGAGCGCATATTTTGGATGTAAATATTTGAACAGAGGTGTCGCAAACCACCAAAAAGATTCCAAAAGTTAAAGAGCAGCGTTTTCTGTTGTTATTTTTTTAAGGCAAGCTTTTCAAACATTTTATTTAGCTTTGCTGCATTCGAGTGGCATCGTACAGTCTACATTCAGCACTCCCAGAGACGCGTTCACTGTCACTTCACTGCAAAGGGATTTCAACATTATAACTGATTTGAATCTGATTCAATTTGTTAAATAGTATTTAAACATGTTTTCATGTAAGTCCCTTTCAAATTATCATCATTAATGGCCATCTTTTAGTCCATCTGTTGCCTTATTTTGTTTTAGAAATTTTTTAATGCTGCCATAATGTTATGTTCCAGCTCGTCTAGTCTTCATTTTAAAATATATCTATAACCCATTAAGTTCGTAAAAAAAATCACCTACGTTGAAATTTTAGCTCATTTTTAAAAAAAAGAATACTTTCCAATTCTGTCCGCTTCACGTGAAGCACCAGACCAAAGCAGTCGTTCGCCGAGGTGCTATCCCAACGTTAACCGCCTGCTAGCCAAAGTCATGGCGCTACTCAAGCAAAGTTGTTGCGTAGCGGGTCGTTTCTCCACAAACCACCTGTGGCTGAGTCCCAGATGCATCCCACACGTGAGTAGTTAAATTCACAACTCAGTCTAACAAACTTTGGCTCGGATAGTCTATTAACAGCTCCAGCCGGTGAAAAAATCTGACTGCGGGCTTCCCAGCTGGGTCTGTCAGGAGGCCTCTGACAGATTGTATGTGTCTAAGCGAATATGTAGTTTAGTAGCCGGAGTCGTGACCACCTTGTCAGTGTGAATTGCCGTGTGTAGAAACACAGAGAAGCTCCTGAACTAATCGTCAGTGTTGCTCTGCAGGTTTACACCAGCTGCTTATCAACCAGACCCTCCCCGGAGAGAAGTGACAGAAAGAAGGAGCTGCTCAGAGACGACGGACCTGACCTGCAAGACTTTATTTCAGGGGAATTATCTGAAAAAAGCAAGTGGGCTGAGTACAAAGGCACCCTGAAGAGACAGAAGGGAGAGAGGTGAGGCTTTCAGGCCCCGGGGAGCTTGAGCTTTGGTTTGAGTCCATGTTAAGATGCTGGCATGTCTGAGTTTTAAACTCATGATCACTGACAAAAATAAACGGACTGCATTTCACTTGTAGCAGCTGTTGGATTATACTAAATGATAGGTCGACTATCATTTAGTATAGAAATCAGCATCTGCACGTTTATTTTGTTCTGTTAATGCACACAAACAGAAGCTGAGTCTCTGAGTCCAAAACTTCATCACAAACACTGCTATAAGCAACGCTGTTAAAGCTTCAGTAAAAGCTAGTCAAAATGTTTGCATTAAACATTCAAATGGAAAAATGGATTTCAGAGGAAATATAAAAGTGTTTGTTGGATAATGAGCTGTTGGCCTGCTCGGCTCTACCATAAATGTGCAGACACATGCTATAGAGAACAGTTCAACACCATAATGAGCATTAAAGGCGAAGTCGACACATGCAAAAAGTAACGGGCGCTTGGTTAGCGCCCTGCAGCCAGTCACAGAAGATGCAAGTGAAGTTGAGATTAAGAAAATGACTGTTTAGTAGCAAAACACATCCAAATGCATGCAGGATTTTTCATCATAGAGCTCAAAATACAGATGAGGACAAAGTTATTACATGTAGGGGCATCAGGCAGACCTGAGAGCCTGCCACTAATTCTCAATGAGCTCTTCCCCGCACTGCAGGCTCTGACCTAGCAGGTTTCTTTATTATTATCAGTAAACGTTTTTTAGCAGTATTTAGACACAGATACTTAGAGATGAGAGCACTGTTAGACACCGAGCTGTCTGCTGTTGTTCCTGTCAGGCTGCGGCTTCCTCCATGGTTGAAGACTGAGATCCCCATTGGAAAGAATTACAACAGGCTGAAGAACACCCTGAGAGATCTCAACCTTCACACGGTAAGTTTTCTGTCTGTAAGTTGTCAGGCAGCCCAGCTGCTTTTTGGCTGCTGTTAAAGAAATGTTTGAGGTGCAACTAATGTGATCTTTGAAGGTCTCCGCTGATTCGCCTTCACACTGCTGTAGCACTGACGCACTTATCAAAATATTGCAGTTTCTCAGCTCACTGAACGGCACATGCTACGTTTTTGACTATTCAACCTTCAACAGAAAGGCTGAAAAATGTTTAATAAGATAAGAAAGAAATTTTTAAATTCCCGTGTAACAGCAGCCAAAACATTAAACAGCCCATTAAAACAGTTTAAATGCAGTAGGATAGCTCAAAAAATTCCAAAGCTTCCAGCACCCAGTTTGGATTTCAGCAGATGGCTGCCCCTTCCTGAGCCTGGTTCTGCTGGAGGTTTCTTCCTGTTGAAGTGTTTTTTGTGTTGTTGTTTTTTTTGCCTTCCCTCTGTCACAAAGTCCTATCTCATAGGAGCTCATCTGGTTTTGGAGTTCTTTCTAATATTGTTGGGTCTTTACCTTACGATATAAAGCATCTTTAGATGACTGTTGTTGTGATTTATGAATAATCTGTCTGTTATCTCAGGTGTGTGAGGAGGCCAGGTGTCCGAACATCGGGGAATGCTGGGGAGGAGGAGAGTACGCCACAGCCACAGCCACCATCATGGTGAGTCTCTGCTGCTCTCTGAATTTACTTCCAGTTTTTGAAGAGGGCAAAGAAGCACTTTAATCTTTAATATTCACCATCTGTTCTTTTATGAACTGGCGCTGCCATATCAGTGTTTTGCATTTGTCTGGATTCTTTGTTCTATTTTAGCGAGATAATGTATTTGTGTGTGTAGCTGATGGGAGACACATGCACCCGTGGGTGCAGGTTTTGCTCAGTAAAGACAGCACGTCAGCCTCCGCCTCTTGACCCTGACGAGCCGTACAACACAGCCAAAGCCATCGCCGCCTGGGGACTGGATTACGTGGTCCTCACCTCGGTCGACAGAGACGGTACTAGTTTCTTACCTTACTGTATCTGCATGAGTCTCTTGCTGTTGTGCATCAGCAAGAATTACATGAGTGACGATCAACTGCATTGCAATTTGTAGAATTTAATAACATAAAGCTGTAAAGAAATCAGACTGTTCTGGTTTTAACTTTCAGTTTACAAATACAAAAATGTCCACAAATTAAAGATAAAATTCAAGGCATTTTCAAAATATTATATATCATATATATCTTAGATTTTTCTTCTCTCTGTATTTTTGTGCAGATATTGCTGATGGTGGAGCGGAGCACTTTGCTAAGACGGTTACTAACCTGAAAGAAAGGTAAACACGACTCCGCCCCTTTTGGATTTATTACATTATCTGAATGTCTTTGTAAAAGCAACTTTGATCCTGCCTGCTAGAAATCCTCAGATCCTGGTTGAATGCCTGACTCCTGATTTCCGTGGAGACCTGGCAGCGGTGGAAAAGATCGCCCTGTCGGGATTAGACGTGTACGCCCACAATGTGGAAACAGTGCGCGAGCTACAAAGGTACTGAGGGATTTTTAATAGACTGTAAGTCCTCAGAGTCAAAATCTGAGCATCTAATTTCTAGTTCTGCCATTAAAAAGCTTAAATTCATGGCCATAAACACACATTATAAAGCAGGCTCGTGTGAAGTATTGTTAAAGTTAATAAAAACATGCAAGGTCGTTACGCTGCAGTAACACATGTTGACCAGCAGGTGGTGCAGCAGAGACATTTCTCAGATGCACAGTGATGTTTGTCGTGTATTTACAGGCATGTACGTGATCCCAGAGCAAACTTTGATCAGTCTCTGAGCGTCCTGAAGCACGCTAAAAAGGTCAAACCGACGGTGCTCACCAAGACCTCCATCATGCTGGGGCTCGGAGAGACTGACCAACAGATCGTCAGCACTATGACGGGTGTGTAGTCCGCTGTCTCACGCACACACACATTATAAAAAATCAGACCAACTCTACAGTTTTCTGACAGGATGTCGTTACAGAGTTGCGAGAGGCAGAAGTGGACTGTCTAACACTCGGGCAGTACATGCAGCCGACCAAACGCCACCTAAAGGTAAACACTCCTACTGCTGTGCTGCTGGCTACAGACACATTCACTCTGACTCTGTGTGTGTCTTTGGGATTTAGGTGGAGGAATATGTCACTCCAGAGAGGTTTGCCCACTGGGAGAAAGTTGGCAGTGATATGGGCTTCACCTACACAGCCAGCGGACCACTGGTGCGATCCTCCTACAAAGCAGGTGAGAAGTGATGTTAATAAATGTTTATTAGTATTTTTTGGATATATTAATATTCAACATGTCCAGCCAGTGTGCAAAGAATATTAAATCATTAATATTAAATCATAAATATGAAAATCATTTTAGTTACATATTTTCAACTTTGCACTTCTGGAAATATATTATAGACTTTGTCAGATAAACATTGCAATTTTTTAATTTTTTTTAAAGAGACGATCAGGTGGGGAAAAGAGTGCCTAATGAAGTGCACAAATCATCCTCGTGACTGTCCAAAGCCAACTAAGCCAAAAACATTCAAATAAAAGTGGAGATATTAGGTCAGAGATAAAAAATAAAAACAAAACACTGTGATCAGGGATATCAACTATAAGCATAATTATATGATTGCAAAGACAAAAGAGAGACAGTTAATTTGTTTCAGTTAAGAAGAGAAATCATGTTATTAAACGTGGCTTTGCATTTTCAGACAAATTCAGCAGTAAAACTTGGGCCAAATCACTCAATAAAAATTAGATCAATTCAAGTGGTGGAAATGAGCTTCCTCTGAAGGGCGGGTGGGCTCCCCCTCAGAGACAGGAATGTAGAGCTCAGTCATTTGGAAGGGAATCGGTGTGGATCTGCTACTCCTCCTCCTCCTAAATGAGGTATTTTAGGTATGTCCTATTTAGAGGAGGACCTGGGGCAGACCCCACAGTAGCCTTAAGAGGTTATCTCTCTCAGGTGAATTGGGAATGCTTCAGGGTCCCCCATGGAAGTACTGGGATAAGTGGGCAGGGAAAGTAGGTTTGGGGATCTCTGCTTAGACTGCTGCTCCTGTGAACGGGACAAGAAGCAGAGGATGGATGAATTCAGTGCATTTCTTCTTTTCTTTCTTCACAGGCGAATTCTTCTTAAAGAATCTACTGAAGAAGAGGGAAACAGAAGCAGCAGAATGAGGAGCCTGCTGTGTGCGTTCAGCTGTACGCAGTGACAAAATGAGCTTCGTCCATCTGTAACGTAATGCACCGATTTAAAGTACAGCACAGGAAACATGTTTAATATTAGTACAATGTTTGTGGGAGGCATTAAATAAAGCTACAGAAGTGACAATAACAGACTTGTAAGTACAGGGACCATACTCTAACTGCTGCTCTGTGTTCCCTGAGAAAAAGCCAGAGGGCTGCATTTTAAAGAGACTATCAAAGAACAAACAGCAGACACGTTGGGTAACGTTGGTGTCCACCAACTCACCCAGCTGTCAGGAGCAGAGGCTGTAATTTGCTTCCGCTCCTTGGGGATTCCTAAATCCCATCCCTCGTCTCAGTGAACTTTGGGTTTAAAAAAAAAAAAAAGCTATGTTGAGACAACGCCGGTCTCTGCGATTCTTTTGGTCCTGGTAGAGATCACGCTGAGATGTTTCCATGTTTTACACAATCCTTTTATTACCCATTATTCTTACAGATGCATCTGGAGATCCGCACACTGCAGTCCTATGCAGTCCTATGCTAAAGGCTGATCTAAAGAACTCCACACAACAGTTGCAGTTATAACCTCTGGTCTCCTCCCCCCTACAGTAAACACCCCCACAATGGAAATACACTAGTACAGTGGCTAAGGGTGCTGACACCCTGACCCCATCTCCTTTTAAGGTAGTGTCCCTTTGCCTGCCCCTCACCCTCAGTAATTCTTGCTTCCTGGCCCAGGTTGATTGTCCTCCTGCCCTGCACCCCAGCTCTTTGTTCCCATTCCAGGCCTTCTTACACCCATTAACGGCCATATTGTAATATTACAATCAATCCCAAACTATATTCTCTTTAACTATGATGTATATTAAGGAATCTATTCTCAACAGCTACTGACCTTTAACAGTGGGCTCTGTTCACGATCACCTTGTTGTGGAAGTTTTCGATTAAATAAAGCCTACAGACGAGCAGTAGCTAACATTCTTTAATCCAAACACACAAAGACAACAGACAACCAAGTTGGTGGAGAGCCTGCATGACCGCGGGGCAGACGGTCAGCAGAGTCTCCCTGAGCCTAGCATGGCTCCCAGTTAAATACCTTCTTCAGGAACAAAAGGCAGTACACAGCTGTTTCACACCTTAAGGTTCACACTCCCTTGCTACCTCCCAGAGTCCTTGAAGAGACAAAAGACTCTTCCTGTGGAGTTGTCTGCTTCCACCAACTTCCTTACTAGACCCCCACCATTTGTCTTACTGTATGAGTGTGAGACTTGTTAAAATCCAGTGGCACCAAGGTATCATACAATAAAATAATGTGATTAATACATAAGTAAAAGAAATTCCTATACAATCTTCATGTCTGCTTCTTTAGAACTGATTTAATGAAGCAGGATCCTTTTTTTTTGATCAGTCTTGTGATACAAAAACAAGAAGCACCATCCATCCTGTACTGTGTGTAAGAAAGGTACAAAGCAAGGGCAATTAGCCTCCCAGCAGGTAAATGGGTGGCAAAAGATTTTGATACCCGTGTATTTGCTGAACAGCCAATTTGGAAGAAAGTGCACTTTTTCTAGAGTAAAACAGTGTAAATGTCACAGCTGGACAAGAAAGATGTTTGTGCTGCACACCGATCAGTTCAAATGTACATTGATATTTATAGAAATAAAAGTCTTAAACGTCACATTTTTGCAGTTTGTCATTTCTTAATTATTTTATTATTACTTTTGAAACAGACAAAACAGAAAAATTAATTTACTTGCATTGGCCCTTTTGAGTAAACAGCCACAGATATTGAGGACAGACTAACATACAGTAGATTTATAAAAAATACTATAAGTATAAAATTTGTGATTTAGAACAATAGTTGATTGTACAGTAAATATAACACTCAGGCTGATAGTGTTCATCAGAAATCAGTCCAACAGGTGTACCTGATATGTGAAATGTATAAAACTAACCACATATGGAATGCTTTAATCAAAAACAAAAAACAATCATTCACAAATTTTGGATTCAAGGATCAGCAGCTCTCATCCAATCCCCCCCACACACACTGTTCATCGGGCATGATACAGCATCTGAGGGAGAAGGATCTGCATTGTTTCACCAGCTACAGGGGGGAAAGGCTAGGAGGAATCTGCTGCATGTTGAGTGATGAAGAAATGAGTTTCAGACTTTTGCTTTGCTGGTGGGAACGTCGCTGGCAGTGATTCGAGGACCAGCAGCTGCTGGAGTGTAGGGGATTCGTGCTGGTGTCACCTTTTTACCGATGGTCTCGATCTGCAGACAGGAAAACAAACAAACAAACAAACAAACAAAAAAAAAAACTTAAATACTTTCTTTGTTCACACAGATTTGGATTTTTACATGGAGGGGTTGGAACTTTTTTTTTTTGTAAATCTTACCTGGAAGCCAAGGCTCTGGAGATGAGGGTGAAGGTGGTCCAGCACTCTGCGGCCATCAAACATGAAAGCCGGCTTCAGCATGTTCTTGTAAATCTTATCGTAGTCCAGTTCCTGTGGTGGATTTAAACAGATATGACTATTAAAATGTTTTCTCACATATTCCTCAAATACGAAGCATTTAAAAAAAATAAAAGTAGTAGTAAAATGTAACTGGGACCTTAAACATGTCCCACTCTGTGCAGATGACCAATGCATGAGCGCTCTGGCAAGCCTCATAAGGGTCTGATGTCACAGTCACCAACTCAGACACTAAAAATGAAGAACAGTTCAAACAAATTAGTGTTAGTGAGTGCTGCTTTAGTTACTGATAAAGCAACTGAAAGTTACTGAGATCTCAGTGGCATCTAAGAGAAGCAATATCTAATGTGGTTCTCTGCTACAGCTGCCTGCTGTTTGTGAGGGACAGCCAATCAGAAGAGAGGAAAGACAAACACTTTCTGCACCAAGGCCCAGTAAAAACCAAACAATGATCATTTTGAAATGTGAATTGTACCAAAGTTCAAGAATGAAAATATGGAGCAGGAATGGAGCAAAAACAGGCGATGTTTAAGAAGTTTAGTCGCTTCTGACATGGTGTGTCCCTATCCTATCTTAGGTTCTCTTGAAAATGTCCTTTACACCCACCCAAAGATAACATTGGTGGGTGTAGAGGACATGATATACTTTGTTGGCTTAAATTCTCCCCAACAGACAATTTGAACTATTACAGCACAGTCAGAGTTACAGTTTTATAAATCTTATTAAATACATCCTGGAATTCTGGTTTATTTTCAAGTCCTATCAGATTTTATTATCAGAAAAGGAGTAGTCATTTAATAGTTTTGATCTTAAAGGTGTTTGATTATAACATCATTACCTCTCCTGTCTGCATGTAAAGTGTCAAGCTCGAGCCTGTAACCAGTTTGCTTAGCAATGCCCTGTACAAAGGTAACACCACCCACAGAGCAGCATCTCTATAGCTCACTTATTACCACATTACAGTCATGTTTATTTAAGCTGTCTGCAGCCAGGTACTGAAGTGAGCTGAAGGTGTCTTTACACTAAACCACCTGGTTCACTCATACAGACATGAAGTAAATCAGGGTGTTGACAAAAATAAACTACACAATGAGTTTTTCAGTACTGCACTGGAAACTGCAACCTGCACACACACCTCTCTCTGGGTTGTCCTCGGAGATGCTGGGCTGGGAGAGGTCGTGAATGATTTGCTCTTTAAGGACTTTGGGGTCATAGATGAACAGCTTGGCGCCCTCATCCATCAGGTACTTAGAAATGTAGATACTGGACGACTCCCTGAAGTTACACAACACACGTGCACACACAAACACCTTGATGTCAGCTCCAATCGAGGTTACAGTTCACAGATGCACATTAAAGCAGTCAGCAGTGACTCTGCAGGTTTTGTATGTACAAAGAGCAAACCCAGGATTTGAAATGGGCTCTTCATTATCCTTTCATACACTGAGGTTTATGATTAACAAAAGTTTAACAAAGCCATTTCAAGTGAATCAAAACGGGAAAGAAATGGCCAAAATAAAAGGAGGAGACCCACCTCGTGTCACCCGTGTCCTTTTTGAAGGAGAAGCCCAGCAGGGCGATCTTTTTGCCGGTAACAGTGTTGAAGAGACAGTCGATGATCCTGCAGGCAAACCGTCGTCTTTGGTACTCATTCATGTCGATCACCTAAAAAAAAAAAAAAAAAAGTGCTACTGTCACTACTCAGTACTAGATGTACAAGTTGTTTAATTGGAGATAAACAGTTATGTCCAAAATGTTCTGCATTGATTCTGCCACAAAATCTCCCTTAGCCTAAGGCGAAGTGTTCAGTCATTCAGGAGAGGCTCTGACTTCAGCCACTACTCCTCCTCATCTAAAGGAGCGTCGCTCTCACCTGCTGCCAATAGGAAGCCACCTCAGGCAGGTTGAGGGCCTCGCACAGATACACCAGATTCAGCACATCCTTCTGGAAACAGCTTCCACCGAAACCTGTACGAGGCATCAGAAACAGCAAAGAGATGAACGGGAAACATTCGTACGTGTTCAGCGGATGTGAAAACAAACTGTCTCTCACCTACGCTGGCTTTAAGGAACTTGTTCCCTATTCTCTGGTCCATGCCGATCGCCTTGGCCACTTCCTCCACGTCGGCTCCAGTGGCCTCGCACAGAGCACTGATACTGTTGATGCTGCTGATTCGCTGTGCCAGGAATGCATTAGCTGCCTGCACACAGACACACAGGAATACTCGTTTAGCTCTGTGATAAGGACAAGTACTGTGATAATCACTTACACACTTCTCATACACCAGGCCACTCAGCGATGACAGAAGGAGACTCACAAATCCAATTAAAAAAGAATATTTTTTTTATCAGATGAAAAAAGACCTGAAATTGAGCCGTGGTGTGTGTAATCAATGTGATCCGTAGTGCAAGTGAATGCACGAGTCAAGAGATGGTGCATTCAAGGACATTTAGTCCAACAAGCAAACCAAGAAGCCACAGAAATCAAATGTGACTCAGGGCAGGAGAGACGCCCAGCAACTAACTCCAAGAGCTTTTATAGAGCACTGGCACTGGGCGAAGATGTTACTGAATGGAAACATTCAGCCAGAGCGCTTCTCAATTTCCTGCATAAAAGGACCGCTTCACAGACAGACTGAAAGGTAGGGTGGAGTGGATCGTCTCACACACATGAAATAAATAACTAAATACAACGTTTTCGCTAAATGAGTAACAACTAGCTGATTAAAATTGATCATAGAAATTAATTGACAGCACAAAGTAAAAGTTGATGTCTTAATAATTTACACAGTTTATTTTCTACAAGCAGAGTTCATCTATCTGACCCTTTTTCCATGTTTTATATACCCTTCAATATACGGATTAAATAAAGAGCAGCTATTTGGAAACAGATTAATAAACACAAATCTAATCTATGTAGTTCTGGTAATTTATTTTTTTATTGACTGTTAAATATTAAAAATATTAATCATGAGATATTTTCCAAGAAAACTGGCCTTTTTTTTGCAAACGATTAATAAATTGCTACAACAACCAACAGATTTACGAAACTGTTCTCTGTGGTCGACCTCACCCAGAGGTTCACTCACCAGCTTTGAGAGCTCAGATGACCACGTGTTGGTGGTGATGATGCGCTCCTTGGGGACCCAGTGCTCATATACAGCACACAACGCTCTGATCGCCTTTTGACCTTCAGCAGTCTCATCTCCACCAATCAGGACGCGGTCTGGCTCCTTCAGATCCCGCACCGCCGTTCCTTCTGCGAGGAACTCTGGGTTGGACAGCACCTGTGGCGGCAGCACAACTTTAGAAACAAGCAGCTCAGCAAAGGTCGGAGAGCTTTGTTCACGTGACGGTACGCACTTGCAGGTTGAGGCTGGGTTTGGTGTTGGCGTCAAATATCCGTCTAATGCTCTCGGCGGCGCGCACTGGCACCGTACTCTTCTCCGTGACAATCTTGTAGCCGTCGGACATCTCGACAATGCGCCGGGCGCACGCCTCGATGAACTTCAGGTCAGCCGCGCGACCTTTCCCCATCCCGTAAGTCTTTGTTGGGGTGTTCACCTGGAGGAGTGCAAGGAGAGGTGCAGTTTAATTATGTCAGTGGGCCAAACAAGCAAAACCGGTGTGTGGTGGAGAACCCTAATGAAATTTTGGTCGATCATTATCGGCCTGTGTTGAACTGTATATTTGGAACAAGATAGAAACTTAATGCAGAAAGGAGAAAAGTGGAGTAAATTAGAAACTGTGTCATTACAGATCCGTTACACATCACAGCTGAGCAGAACGTGTTCTGCATAGCATGTTACATGCGTTGCTGAAAAGTTAAATAATAAGGCCACAATCTCCTCTTTTAAATACAACTGAAGACTGACTGACAGACATCTTTCACTTATATTCAACCACCGAATATCCAGGATCAGTCGGGCTCTAGGGCTGTGTGTGTGTGGAGCTAAATGATGGACTCACAGAGATAAAGACGAGGTCTGCGTCCCTGATAGCCGAGTCTATGTCTGTGGAAAAAAACAAATTTCTTCCTCTGCATGATTCAACCACCTCCTTCAGTCCAGGCTGAAATGGGAGGAAGTGAGAGGCCGTGTTAGTAAGACAGCAGGAAAAATAAACGTTAAGAGTGCAACACCAGCTCACAGTGACCACTGACTAACCTTAAACTACTCACGATGATGCAATACACCGTGGTCAGAGTTGACGTAGAAAAGTTGCAACACAGTCTGGAAGTAATTTAGGTTTCATTTTGTCCATGAGGTGGAGCAATATTTAACAAAAACATTTGCCTGGAACTGTTGCCTGGCTACACCTACTCCTTTAACACTTTAATGAATCTGAACACTTTACTGCTTTTCTGAGATGCTGAATATTAATCTCAAGCTGCACATATCAGGATAATAGCCTATGACCTACTCCTGCTTGTTAAAGTTTAACCAGATCTCTAATAATTAATCTTGTCCTACTATCCTCAGCGCCACGTTTTTTTGTTTTTTTAAAATAATGGCACGCTACCTCATAAATGGGCAGAGTGTCAGAATTCCAGGCCTTGATTCGGGACTCATTGACGTCCACAACAGTCACTGTGATTTCCGGGCACATCTGGGCGATGACGCTGCATGTTGGGCCTCCTACGTAACCCGCACCAATGCAACAGATCCTCTTTATTTGAAACATCTGGGGAGGACACAACACAGAGCTATAAAGTTATCAAGTGAACACACTTCCCTGCAAATAAAGAGATAAAGTACCCATCAAGCAAGACTTATTTGTACACATTTCAGTGCTTGCCAACAGCTTATCAGTGGGTTTGCCAGATAAGAAAATAAGAGGAGGGGGTCCCAAGGAGTCCTGGACAACTTTTGCTCCAAATCACTTAAAAAACAATTTATAAGGATTTGAAGATGAAGAGTAAGTAGTAATCGATGATCTCTCATAATTTCAGCTTCATAACAATACAATCTTTGTCAACAAAATCTTTTTTTAAAAATGAATTTGCTATCATGAAAGTCGGTATGTATATGAAAAAACAGTGGCTCAAATAGTCGAGGACAAACCATTTTAACAGCATCTCAAACATATTTCTAATAGTTTAAACGTTATAGATCCAGTTTCTCTGCAGATGATGACTGGAATATTAGTGCATAAGAAGCAAGTAAAACGCTACCATCCAACTATCAAAATTACAGTAATGACTAGTTCCGTCACAGGAAAATAATTGCTTTGCTGATGCCTCAACTTTACAAGTCAGGTAAGCTGATTCCCTGTTACACTGAGAGGGGAGTGGCTCCTCCCAAATAATTTGATTTTCTGTCTAAAATCCTCCTCGGGAGTACTTCACCTCCTCGGTGGTGCCGCGGTAATAGTTGCCAGGTGCACAGTTGTAGCCTGGTGGAATATAAAGAGCCTTTTATTGCAGCTCAGCCACGTCAAGCAGAGATGAAAAATGAGCCCTTTATCGGTGATGCCTTTCACTTAGTTCGCGTTAGCTGCCCCGCGTTGATGTGGCACATCGACAGGAGAACGATGAAGCTACTTTAAGTTCTGTTCCTTCAAACAGGGAGAACTAAACACGAAAATGAATGAGTGGGTAAGTGTTTGTTGTCAGCGGGTTAGCTAACGGTTCGTTACCTCTGCCAGCTCGACAGTCTCTGAACTTCAGTAATGCGCAGACTGTGTTAGCTCTTCCGCTAAATGTGTCCTGTCCCGGCGTCAAACCCACGGCCACGGTTCCGTTACACACGATAAATGAAAGCAAACCAGAGCTCGACGTATAAAAACCACACCAATGAAATCTCTGCAACAACTTTCCTCACCTGGACCTCAACCTAAAGTGAAGCGCTTCTTCGGAGAAACCACTATTTATTTACTGGTCAGACTTCCGGCATCATACCTTCAAAGTAAAAGCATTTTACACCGTTATATAGAGAGCTGTGGTTAGAAGTTTACAGTCATCATGGACATGAATGTCATGGTAGTTGTTCTTTTTCCGAGATGAAATAATTGTATAGTAATCATCTTTCATGACTTAAGACAGCAAATATTCGACTGACCAATTCTCAGAACAATGCAAAGCTCCATGGAACTCAGTGGAGATCTAAAAGGGAGAATCATAGCTTCATAGTCAGGAAGGTCTCTTAGAGCCACTTCTAAACAACTGCAGATTCCAGGGTGATTAGTTCAAATAATTGTACAAATTATTCAAACGTGTCACCACTTTGCCAAGGTTAGGACGAAAACCCAAACTGTCACCCTCTATATGAGATGAAATTGGTTCTGATGTTCAGCAACAACCCAGAGACCACTAAGAATCAAGCCTGCCATTAAGAACTGCTGGAATATCAAACCCCTAACCTCAACCCTGTTGAAAATTTGTGAACTACAGTTAAAAGTCAACTCCATGCCAGGAAAGCAACCAATTTAAAGTTGTTTTTTTAAACCATGTTTAGAATTCTGTCAAATAAATGAAAGAAGCTTGAAGCATTTCTGAGATGCTGTATTTGAATCTCAAAGGTGAGCATATCAATACAGCCTATGACCAACTGCTGCTAGTTAAAGCTTTACCAGATCTCTAACAATTAATCCTGTCCGACTATCCTCATATCAGCTTTTTAGATAATGGTATCATGAATGAGAATTAACGGGACCCATTGACCTCCACAACAGTCACCGTGATCTCTGGGCACATCTGGGCCTCCTACATGTCAGTTAATTCTCTAATTCCATTTGAGCTGTGAAAATAGGAGCCTGTGTAAAACAATTATTCAATATTTAGTTAAATCCCCAGAATTAAAACAGGAAGTCTGCACCTCAAAAATCTACTGTGGTGGTGTACAGAGGCAAAATACAAAAACCTGTCTTCCTCCAAATACTTATAAACATAACTGTGGGTGAGAAGTTATTAAGTAATTACTGAAATGCCCTTACAATACAAAAAAAATTAATCATTTGCAGGTTTGTGAGTTCTTCTTAACCTGACGACAAAAATAAACATTAAAAGGGAATCAGCAAAAACAACAACAACAATGTTAACTGCTTTACTGCACATTCTCATGTTAAGCCCTAATTGTCTATTGTTTTATTGAAATTTTTATCTTAACTTTTAATTCTAAGTTGTTTTTCAACTGTAATTTCAATCATAATATGATATTTAATTGGGTGTAACGTGTCCTTGAGTGCCTGTAAAGGGCCTTTAAATACATTCATTATTATTATCATCATTATTATTATTATTATTATTACATGCTAAAGCATAAACATATTTATAAAAATAATCAAATACAATTTTAAAAAATTAAATACATGAATTTTTCCTTGACATATCACAAAATCATTCTGTCCCACAATTGTTTCCAATTTTGCAAACATCTGAGTTAGAAAACATATAAAAATATGAACACACACTAGATCTGCTGTCTAATACAAAATCATATGAAAGTAGCTGTCAGAGGACAACATACATTACTAACTTGCATTTGCAAAAACATGTAACATAGCACCAACAGACATTACACGGGTGTTATGTTACATTTTATTCGTCATCTTCGAAACGGTATGGTTTTATTTGGGGGGCTCCATGGTGGAGGTGGGCTGTCTCCGAGTATCTCTTGTATCCGTCTCTCTTCTCTGCGTCTCTTCTGCTCTAGATCTTTTCTTGCCTAAAGAACAACAAGAAAATCTGTGACACTAGCCACAAGGACAAGGACTGCTCACACATACAATATATTCAAAAATACTAGATTTGTACACCTGATAACAACGCCTCATACAACCAGAAATTAAGAAGACCGTGGGACAGTGGTGTGAACCTCATATTTAACTTAATAAAAGTTCAAATCAATTATGTATGTAACGGGTAGTGACAGGGATGATGTGATCTCGTCTCTATAAATTAGTCTGAACATCGAGGGGGAAGATGGACTTCAGGCAGACAAAACAAAGCTCTGAGTCAAAGATCACGCCCATTATGATCTCAAGACATGTGTACAATTTCATAACTGTGGTCTTGCTGTGAAAGCTCTATGAAATGGAGAGAGTTACTGCGCTACGAGTCACGCACATCCAAGGCAACACAACAAAAAACTCCGAGGTCAGGAAATGATTACTCAAAGAGGGAGTAAGGCTGGATATACAATACTGGGCAAAAGTCTTGAGCCATACCTGGTGCAATACCAACAAGCTTGAAAGTCAATATTTCATACGAATACTTTTATTACTGCATGGTGATCCACAAGAAAAAACAAAGAAATCCTCTAAAAATGAGTTCAAAAATGTCCAGCAGACCTTCAGAAAGCCTGGAGATTTATCACTCAACACCAAGTCTGGCTCCTTGGAAGCAAAATATAAACAAATGAGGGATGGATCAACAGTTTTGCACAGTACTGTACATATTTAATTTGAGCTTTATGTGTAAAATGCAGGCTCATTTGGCCAAAAAGTTACACAAACAAAAATATATATTTAGATGCTGATTTAATCTACAATCTATATAACGTAAGGTTCTGATCTTATTAAGCTATCACACTTTTTTTATTTTAAAAACTTTCAGAAAAAATTCTCAGAAACAGAATGAGGTAAAAGCATTAAATCAGAAGAAATTCACTACATTTTCATTAAAGATATGCTGAAACAGTTGGTTGAACTTTCAGATTTTCCCCTCCTGAGCAGTGAAATCTGTCAGTGATCTAAGTAGTCACAAAAGAAGAGTTCACACTGGAGCCTGGTCGCGACTGCTAAGCGAGAGACCATCTGTCTCATGAACAAAAAAGGATGCGGCGAGCAGCACCTCAGATGCTGGTAATAATCATTAATAATTCTACTTACCAGCCAGTTTTCATACACCTCTAAAGCCATTTTATCTCTTTCTTCCTTCATGTATTTCTCCTCCTCCGCTTTATTTTTGATTTCTTTGCGCTCTGACGTGAATTTGTCATCGATAACTTCTTTCTTCTTTTCACACCTTAATCATGTTTAAAAAGAGGATTAAAAAATCAGTATACATGACTTTTCTGTGAGGTTTTTGGAAATAAACAGTGGATGAAGATCTGAGCTTTGACTGCCATCTGGTGGGCGATATTTTTCAACCCGGCACCACAGCTGTTACAAGTTTTATTAAACATATATGCACATTTAAATCTATGTATTACCACCACTAAAAGCAAAGCTCAGTCATCTTTTGGATCTGTTGTTCAGACCATTCTGCAAAAAATGAATTCTCAGTGCCTTAAAAAAAGAGATATCTCTTTTCATCACCTTTAAATAAATGGGAGAAATTAATAATGAATGATTTCCACTCACCAGTTAGAAAAGGCAGACCTGCTGTCCCTTTTTCTCACCTCCTCCTGTTCTTTGTTTTTAAGCTTCAATTTATTTTCAGCCTCCTTTTGTTTTCTGTAATTCTCTTTTAGCAGATGATCATGCTCACGTTTCCATTTCTCAAACACCTTTAATTGTTATTAAAATACCAAATTAACCTCACGGATACACACAAGCAATCTCATTATAGGTGTCAGAGTGATGTATGCTTTTACCTGTTGAGCAGTCTGCCTTTTTTCTTCTTTCTCCTCAGCTGCTTTTTGTTCTTTTCTAATCACAGCTTCCTTCTCTTTGGCCTTAGATTTGAGGCTTTCTGCCTTCTTTTTCTTCCAAGCCTCATAGAACGCAACAGCATCTTCTTTTTTAGCCTCCTCTTCCTGTTTGTTTTTTGAAAAAAATTGAAGAGCATCCATGTAATCTTTAAAGCTTGTAAGGTGCTCTGTAGTTTGTCTAAAACACAGATGACTCACCTTTTCCTTTTTTTCTTTCAACATGGCCTCTTTCTTCTTCAGTTGCATGTTCTCCCTCGACTTTTCCTTCTTCTTTTTGAGCCATTCCTTGTAAAAGTGAGGGTGGATTTTACTGGACTGAGAATGTGCTTTTGATACTCTGAGGCCCGCTTAACACATACACACATTCATTCAAATCTAAATGTTCAATGTGCAGTACATTGTTTTCTCCCAACAACTCACACGATTACGAAACACTCTTTTAATTTAGATTAGTAAAACCACTGCTACTCTATATTTAGCTGCATGGTTCTTCGGAGCAGTGCTGAGTAAGGTTTTCATTGTCTTTTACACACAGACTTTTAACTGTAGATATAAGGGTACGTCCACTGCATGGCTGACAATGTAAAAAAAAAACTAGAAAAGACAACACCCTCAGAACCACACTGACCTGATAAATGGCAGCTCGGAGGGAATCTGCTTCTTGTGGCTGAGACTCTTGTAAAGAGACTTTACGGTCCAGAACTTTGAGAGACCCCAAATACTTGGACTCCACTTTCCTGGAGCATGCACTCTGAGATCTTGGAGTGGTCTTAGAGTGAGAACTCAAAGTCCTAATTTAAACAAAACAACAACAGAAAGGCCAGCTAAGTGATCAGGTCTGCTTCACACATAGAGCTCTGCTACTGCAGCTTGATTACCAACCTTGCTTCAACAGATTCCTCAGAGACATGAGAAAGATGAGCTGAGGGATCTCCTGAGCATCCCTGGAAGGCAACAATGCACAGACTGAGCTCTTAGACTCTTGAAATGGAAGCAACCAGACTTGATTTTAGTTCGTGAAGATGTTTGACCTCTCATCCACATTCTTCTATGTGTTCAGTCTGGAATGCAGCGTAATGACGCATGCCTTGATTCATACCTTCAGACCCTCATGTGACCTTTAATAATTACAAGGTGGGTCAACAACTCTCAGGACCACCTCCAAGAGGACGACCTCGCTATAGGTTACACAGAATTCTCCATCAGTTTTTAGAACATAAGAAGCCTCTTGGATGACATGTGTAACGTCTTCACAAACCTACAAAACAGTCCTGTTGCCTCAACTCAAGCGCTTAAGACTACCATCAGCCGAGTGACTGAAAACCCACACAAACTGAAGCTGGAGCTCTCCTCAGAATAAGCTGTGATTCATTAAAAAAAACTAAACTTCACAGCGACGTTACACAGTGCAGAATATGTCTTACAGTAAATTCTTCAAATGATGTGGAGTAGTTCCTCTCCTGCTCTTTGCTGTCATCAGAAATAAAGCCATCTAAAACAATAAAACAAATATTAAGAGCATTAATTAGACATGTAGCAAAAATATTGGTTATTTTCTTTTGACTTTTTAATGATTATTATAATGAGGATTGATTGATTTTTCTCCCACGGTAGGTTTAAAAAAATATATATATATATTTAAACAACACATTTTTCTACATTTTTCTAAAGTCCAGATTTTAATGAATATTTTTTGTGTTAAATTTTGCTGCCCAAGTCGGTGCATAACTAATCAATAATTGCATGCAAACTCCAATACCTATAAATATAAAAGTATTTTTATTCTCGTCTTCCTTACGATTTGCTAACGTCACACCATATTATCTGTAGTTGCCCTTTTTTAAATGTCCTGAATAAAAAGAAAAAAAGGTTCTGAAGATTTTTTTTATGATCATTACCTTTCGATCCAGAATCAACAGTGGACTTTGTGAGGAGTGCAGACCGTGCACTCTTATTTGAAGAGGGTGAAACTGTGTGGTCTCCTTCTGTCCACTATGATGAAACAACATCACAAACATCCTCTGATTATGAAAAGTTTCATTTTAGTTTGCAGCTTAAAACACTGATTAACAAAGCACAGCTGGACTGCAGATCCTTACAGCTATGGTGCCAGATGTATCAGTTGAGAGAGGAATTGATACAGAAGAAGTCTGAGGCCTGCTGAGATCCTGAAAGTCTTCAGCTGGCTTCTCTGAAGTGTGAAAGCTCAATCTTAGGGTCCTTTGCCGGGGTTTAGGTCTTGGTGGCTCCCTCTCTGAAACACTATCTGAATAGTGACAGGTGTAAATCTAAATGTAAAATCTGCACTGATTCCTGATAGCAGTATTGTGTATTAAACTAAACAGACCTGCTGAAGCTGTGTGGTTCAGGTCACATGTTGATAACTGTGAAGTCTGTGAGCTTTCTTCAGCAGCAGAGCCGCTCTTTTGCTCTGGCCCTGGAGTTTCCACCACGCTGCTGTCAGACGGTAACGGTAAAGGCATGTCCAGGAGAGTATCGTCTGATGTTTGGTATGACAGAGATTTACTTGAGCTTTCTCTTGTGATCTGAGGATCAGCTGAATCCACACGAGCATTTTTAAACTGTGCGTCATCTGTGGAGCGTTGTGAAGATGCTGACCCATTAGAACTATCACGTGCAGCCGTGTGTGAGGCTAGGGGCTCGTTTTTTTCTTGTGACTCTGACGCAGTGGTGCCGTTGGAGGGAGAGCTGATTCTTTTTGTTTTCAGGAATGAAACTTTCTTTGTCCTCCTGTGTTTGTCTTCATCATCTGAGAGGTCAAAGTTGTTAATGATTTTGGCTTTATTCTTCCCAGCTTTGAGAGAACCTGTCTTCTTTTTTCTTAATTTAAGGAGTCTGTTTAAAAAATCTGAAAAACAAAAAGATAAACTGTCAACACACTCTTTGTTGTTGTTGTTGTTTTTTTTTAATCAATCATCTTCTTCGCTCCCACCTTGCCCCTAGCATACCTTTCTGTCACACCAACCCTCTACATGTCCTCCTTCACTTACATCTAGGCAGCTCTACCTGCAGCATCCTTTATCCAGTGTATTCACTATCCCTCCTGTGCATGTCTTCAAACCATCTCAACCTTCTCTCTAGCTTTGTCTCCTGACAGCCTAACCCAAGTTGTCATTCTCAGTCGCTCAATCCCAACATCTCCAGCTCTGCCACCTCCAGCTCCACTTCCTGTCTATTTTTCAGTATAACGCTCTCTAAACCATGCATCACAGCAGGTCTTACGTCCATCTTTTAAGCCTTCCCTTTAACCTTCGCTACTATCCCTCTGTAACAAATGAACTACTCCATTCACTTAGAGTCCTTTTTAGATATAATAACGCTTTTTCGTTATACCATCTTCATCTTCTTCGAAGTCGTCAGAGTAGGTGTACTGATCTGTCTTGGCTTTGGTCGCCCTGGCAGAGACAGCAGCCTGGAGTTCATCCTAAAGCGACATAATTTCAGGTTAACATGATTCTCCTTTAATAATCAGGTTTAACTGAGCCGCTCATTTCTTATTTTGTTTAGAAACGGTCCTTACCTGAAATGTTGTTCTTTTAGATGTTTTCGGACTTTTTGAATAAGCAAGAGTCCCGTACTCCTGCTCGGTCATCCTAAAGCTGTGAACAGCTCCCTAAAATGCTAGCTGGGGTTCATTCGCTCGAGCTAATTAGCCTCTAAACACGTTATTAACCTCCCGTGCTGATCTTCAAGCTTAATCACCTATTCTATACATATTTTTATGCCGATGTATAATGATACAAGAGACCCTAAAGCCACGCTAGCATACTGAAGATACTGTGGGCTAGCGAAGTTGTTGATGGTAACCCAGGGAAACAGTTCCGTTTTAGCACTGCGCATGCTCAGAAGACTTAGGACAAGACTTGTTTCGGAAGGAATATGTTTGTTTATTTAATTATTAAAATGTCTAAACTATTGTGTTCAGTGCTTGAGTGACATGATTCATAGTTTTATAGTCCAAAGTTTATTTAAAGGTAACAAGAAGGCTAATTAGAGATAGACTATTTAAAACCTTCCTGCCGTGTTCAGGTCAAATTTGACCGATTTACAAATGTAAAAACTCATAACTATTGTGTTTTACATCCGATTTCCTCGAGGACTTGTGGCATCCTCCACACTATGCACTTGAGCATCTAAAAGTGATGAGCACCTCTTTCGTTGAATTTTGAGTTTTTTAGGAAATTAATGGGAATCCACCCCTCACGCCCCTTTGGCCTCTGACCCCCTGAATACCTCACTGAATGGCCAAGTGAATGACCACTGAACGACCCACTGACCCACCCACTGAACTGAATCTGGTGGTGAAAAATGTTTCTTATGTTAATTTAAGAGCTGTTAAAACTGGCTGGTCACTTGTGACCAGAACACTACATGTAAGGGAAGGGGGGTTGCACACAACCAGAGGGCTATATAGCAAAAACACAATGAAGGAATTTTATGTGAAAAAATACTGTAACGTCAGAAGTTATCTACTTTATTTACCCAGTCTAGCCTCAAATTGATATTAATAAGGACCACATTTTTTTTTGAATAAGTGATTTAATTATCAAGAGGAGTAATCACATAAATAATAATGGATTGGATTTATATAACGCTTTTCAAGGCACCCAAAGCGCTTTACAATACCACTATTCATTCACTCTCACATTCATACACTGGTGGAGGCAGCTACAGTTGTAGCCACAGCTGCCCTGGGGCAGACTGACAGAAGCCAGGCTGCCATATCGCGCCATCGGCCCCTCTGGCCAACACCAGTAGGCAATTAGGGTAAAGTGTCTTGCCCAAGGACACAACGACCAGGACAGAGAGCCCAGGGATCAAACCGGCGACCTTCCGGTTACAGATGCGATTTCCAACCCCCTGAGCTACGGTTAACATTGTTAAAATTTATTTTGAAAATACATTAACTAGAGAGAGCCTAATCTTTAAGGATGACAAGCACATACAAATATGCAGTCCTGTGAAAAACTAAAGAATCACTTTTAGCAGCAGTAACTGGAAGAAGTGGTTTTCTATATGATTTAATCAGTCCCTCATATCACTGTTGAGAAATTTTGGCCCACTGTTTATTACAGTATAGCTTGAGTCATTGAGATTTTACAGGCATTTGTTTATGCACAGCTCTCTTGAGGTCCCTTCACTGCATTTCAGTCAGGTTGAGGTCTAGACTGGGTCACTGCAACACCTTGATTCTTTTCTTTTTCAGCCATTCTGTTGTAGCTTCGATGCTACAACAGAAAGACCATCAGTGGTTTTGTTGAATACTCAGAGTCACCAACTACACCTGATAATCAAATGTTTAAAAGTGTAAGTGTTACATTCTTACTCTGGCTGGAAGCATATATCAATTATAAATCTGATGAGAAGGAAATGTGCCAGCTTCACACAAAAACACAGCCAAGCTTCAGACATAAGTCTTTTTATTTTCTGTTTTGTTGTAGGAAAAGTGCATAGTTGAAGCCCTTTTACTCTTAAACAGTAACAGTGTAAATTGAGGTCTACTTGATGCCACCAATCATCTCAATAGTCTCATGGCTTCCCCATTGATACCATACAATTGACCCAGCATTTTCAATCTTTCAGCTCTTCCCCGTGACCTCGCAGAACAACCCTAGAAAGCCATAGTACAATATAATTCAGAGGACTTTTGCTGATAATGAAGAGCAGCCAGATTCAGATGTGTTTAAAACTCCCTCCATGCATTCAACAAATAGTTTTCCATTTTAAGATTAATGCATGTAATTTCTGGTATTACAGACACCCTGGGATATATCCCAAGGCTCATATACACTTTAATAACCACACACTATACAGATGTTCACAAAACACAAACAGACTCACTCAGCTGATGGTTCTGAAAATATGTGGGTTCAATGGTTTTGTTGCTTTGTGTGGGTTCATTACAATAGGAGGGAGCTATATATTTATTTATGGTAAGGCTCCAGTATCGGTAATGTTCCCAATTAAAATGTGGAAAATGAAAAATCATTCCCAAATAAAGTGAAAATCATAAAAGGACCCCTCAGTATTGCCATTTCAACACAAATAATTCGAAACTAAAAACTCACATTGGCACGTTTCATTAATTTCCACTGACAAACCGTGGTACTGAAGTTGTGAAGCAGAAACTTTGATTGCATTCATCTTTTAGAAAGCTTAATCTGTACACAAGACCTCCAAAAGGAATCAAAAAAGTGCTAATAATGTATTATTTTGGGTACTAGTACAACTTTCTTTTAAAGCACAATAATACACACAATCATCCTAACATACGATGATGATATAACTGCAGATAGTTTCATTTTGTCAAATGAGGCTAAGCATCTCTGTATTACTGGAGGTGAATAATAGTTTTCTCTGGTGTGTGCATCAAATATTTTGCTCACATTTTACAGATCAACTTCAATTTTGTCCTTCAAACGTGCTGCTGCACCACCTTATTTAAAGGGACAGCCTTACAGTCAATATAGCAGAGCTGACTACCTGCTTGAGTCAGATGAGTATCTCACCAAGGCCTGAAAGTAAACACACTAGACTTACTCACTGCATTAAGAATCCTATGTTGTGTTACTGTAATGAGACTATAACCTTATCAAAAAAATTCTGCAGGGTTAAATATGAAACTAAAACATGATACAAAATGTCATGGTTACTGGCACCGTATAGAGTTTTATCTTCATAAAGTAAGAAGTGTGGAATGTTTGAGAGAGACTGAAGGACCCTCCACCCTTTGTTATTTCAAGCACCGGAAAAACAAATTAACGATTCAACAGGAACTCTTTACTACTGCCCCCTCCCTTCTTCCCCGATTATGTGACACATTCCTTCATCATAGATTTGCATCCGAGTCTCTGCAGATCCGCAGGCATCACAGCTGGGATCAGGGACCAGCTCTGATGCCTGCGATTGCTCATTTAAGCAAATCCAACTGATATATATTTTTAAGCCACAGCTGTTTGGTAGTTGAGTGTGTACTTCTGCTATGAAAAGCCATGTGTCGTACCAAGTTTTATATTTTTTATGTGATTGTGTTCAATCACATAAAATCCTCTGGATAAAATCTTTTAAATTGAGAAATGCAACTGTTTTTAAGAGAACATATTTTGCTTTTCACCATTTTCCCCATGTGTGTCACATATATGCTTTTACATGGGTGGATGCTCATACTAAATACGGTCAAAGTTGCTCAGTTTTTTCTACTCTTCCTCCTTTGTGATGTCAGTGAGAGCAGTAATCCTTAATTGATATCAGGCTTGCAGCTCTGACTGTAAGCATAGAAGCTACACCCACCTTCATTTCAAATTCTGCGCATGGCAGCGAATAAGAATGAAGCTGACTTAAAGAGGGAGGGGCTAACACCTCTCCAGCTAAGGAGCTGCACCAGGACAAGTATAACCTAAAAAAAAGGATCATTTCAAACTCTAAATCATGCCATACTAATTGAGTAAAATAAGTTTTGGAGCTGGACATGAGCTATAATAGGTCCCCTTTAAATATCATAGTTGTGCTGGCCTCGTTGATCAGTTGGACTCTAGTAATAAGAAATCAAAGACAAGTCTGTGGCAGCATCAGAAGAAGAAAGAAAAAGATATGTGAGGGAATGTTGACAGAAAGACAGATGGTGCTGTCCTGGTTGCAGCTACTGTGCAACTCCAGTCAGAGGAGGTGTACATTTGCTGTTTGTTTGGCTCCACTGCTAGTCGATAGGTGGTGCTGGGGGCTCTCTTCCATCACTCTGCAAAAAACAAAACAAACCCAGAAATAAATAAAAATAAATAAATAATAATAATAATTTATATATCTCAGATTTGGGTATAAATACATGAAAAAGGACAATGTTTTTAACCTTTTTTTTTGGTTTTGCCTCACAGATAGTGTGCAGGCTTGCAGTTAATCTGGGTTTAATCTTCCAAAGAACTCTTTTAGATGTTGTCTGCAAAAGTCTAATCTGACTTTCTTGTCCTTCAGAGTAACCAGTGGTTTGCACATAGTTTTGAATCCTCTGTATTTCCATTCTGGAAGACATCTTTGCCAAGGTCATTGTAGACGATGACAAGTCTACCTACTTGAGTGCTCTTGACTTGGTTAGATGATGTGAAGCTGTTTTTCTTAGCCAAGGAAAAGTTTCTGTCATCATCCATTTTACTTCATCTGTGGTCTTTCATGTATTTTGGCATTGCTGGGCTTGTCAGAGCATTTATTCTTTTTAAGAATGTACCACACTTGGCCACTCTTAGAGTTAGCTTTATTTTGTTTTTTTGTTTTCCTGCACCTGTTGCAAATCCTTGTAAATAAGGGAGCAGCTGTAAGTGGCTTTTTGTGAATGTATTTTCAAAGATCACTGGGATTTAAAAACTCCTAGCATGGAATTACCAGTCAAATCCAAAAATGTCTATAAATATTTTACTGATTTTTAAAGGCTTAAAAAGTGTCCCTTACAAAAGTTTGAACCACGATCCTTTGGGGAAAACTTCGCAGTGTTTGGAGCTGAAGTTTCAGCTAACAGACATGGCCACATACCCCTCAATTTAGCCCACTTCAAATAAGCCGTTTCTGTACCTGTAGCTTTAAATGAAATGATGATCTGCACATGCCCACATGTCACAAGTAAACCTGCTATCATAAAAATTAAAAAAACATTATTGGATCCTGACCATTTACATTTCCTGTATTGCTAATAAAGCAGTTGGTTATGATGAGGCTACACTTCACAACACAAAAGGCAACATGCAAACACACTGACACACACACCCTCCTCCTAGTATTTCAAAGGTAAGGTCTGAAGTTTCTGCAGTTTCTCATTAGCCATATAAAGCTA